TATGTTGGACCCACATTACATATTATGCATATGCTGAAATGTATGTGGGGTCCACCTTGAAAAATATTTGTAGACTCCATAGTAAAGGATATGCATAGGTGGACTTACATGTGGGGCCCATTTATAGTGATTGCATTTTGGGCCCACAACTATGAAATGCACATTTAGACATGTATGTATGTCCCACATGTTAAATAAAAAGTTTGTTTGCCCACACACAAGATATTCATATATACATAACGCATATTTTCGTCACATTACCAAACAGTCTTCCAACTTTTATAGTCTTTCTAAAGATTTATGAAAAATATTTCAACCAAACAGTCTTTGATCTTTTAAGATCTATTTGTAAAAGCTCACTGTGTCTTTTAAGTGTCATATTTTACAACATATATTGGAAAATATTTGCCAAAAAGGCACATAGTTGTTCATCTATGATGCCTAAGCCTAATTGGTTTTAAATTTTGAGGGGAAGGCTATAGAATATCAAAAAGGGGTTTTTCTTAAAATAAACTTGCATTTTTTTCCCGAATATGAAAAGCTTTGCAATGTCACAGGGTTCCATCAATTTAGGTACCATTTGTTAAGTTTTCTTAGGAAGATCTTTTGATTGCCTAGACAGTTAAAAGATGTAATGAGCTTTTGGGGTTGTCTTTAAGAATCTAGGTTGTTTTGTAAGTATCCTAATTTACTATGGTCTACAGAATTGCCAAATGAAATATGTCAGGTGTAGAAAGACAAGATGCTCATTTGAAGATTTTAGGTTTTTTTTTTTCCTATTTTAGGCTTCCATGAACTTCTTAGAGCATGTCTTTTGGCTTCCTATCTTTCATTGCCAAACAAAGAAAGACCAAATTTTGGTTTTCCAAACTTTGAAAAGCTTGAAAACCATACAAAAGGAGTTGTCAAATGCCTTCTTAATCTGAAAAAGCTTGTGTAATGCATGGGTATTGATCAGTTTAATTATAAGAATAAAATACACTTAAATGCATAGATATAGTTAGGGGTGTCAATAACATTCGAAAATCCGATTTTGAATTCGAGATTCAACATAATCGAATCAAATTCAGATAATTCGAATATCTAATCGGTTGAATTCGGACATGGTTTTTGAAATCGAACCAGTCTAGGGTCCGGTTACTAGTTCGAACGGTCCGACCGTTCGACCCGTTCTAACAAAAAAATAAAAAAAAATTAAAAAAATTTGAAAAACGATCAAAACCATTCGAACGGTTAACCGACCGGTTCAGCGGTTTGCTGACCAAAATCAACGGTTTTGGGGGGAAAAGCGGGTTTGGTGAAAAATGGAACTGGTCAGGTGACTAGTTCTCATTTTTCCGGTCCGACCGTCCGGTTCGGTCCGGTTTTGAAAACCATGAATTCGGATATCCTATTCATATCGAATAGTTAATCGGATTCGAATTCGGATTTAACCTGATTCGATTCGATGAATATCCGAATTTGATTGATTATTTAATTCTTATATAATATATAAAATATTTAAATGTCTTATATAATTTATATATATAATAATTAAATATATAAATAATTTATATACTTATATACTTTATATAAATAAAATATTTATTTTATATATTTATTAATTACCTAAAATAATTAATTAATCAAATTCAAATTCGAATCAAATTGAATATTCAAATATTTAATCCGATTCGAATTCAATCCGTTTGCACCCCTAAGAATTGGGATAAGAAAAAATCAACAAAACTTAAATAAATCTAAAAAAAAATCAACCAATCTATTTCTGGTTATGAGTTTCAACCAACCATACATAATGCATTATAAAGAAACTTACATTTTTATAGTTCACGTGACACCATCACTCAATCTATTTCTGTTCATATGATGTAAGTCGTATCTTTTCCTCATAAAGTATTGAATAAAATCGACAAGATTTCTGGTGGCATAGAATTGAAAATAAAAAGAATATCAGTGCAACTAGGACGCTCTATGTTAATCTAAGGGGCTTGGGTTTTGAATAGCTAAGACCTTTTAGTGAAACAACCATGGCTAGTATAATTGCCCCTTACAAGGATTTCTTATGAGGTATGAAAAACAAAACCAATCATCTTGTCAAACACCCCTTAAGGGCTAAATGTTCTTTCAAAGATAATTAAGATGTCTTACCAAGCTATACTTACAAAAGAAACTCTCCAACATGAGAATCCATTGATGAGCTTATATTCACACTGCTTATCAAGCACAATGAAGACTGAATACTCATACAAATAAGCCATTGGTTGATAAGAAAGGGAGAATATCAATCTTGACCGCACTCAATCAGTTCAAGAAGGCCAACCAGAGCCTCTATTTCCTCTATCATTAGCTGGCAAATATGTTCTGATGTTTGGAATTTCTCCTGGATTATGTTGAGTAGTTGTTTCTATAAACATTCAATGAGAACATTGTAAACCAATGCTTCACACATATTGAGGCTGATTTCAATCTTCAAAGTTCAAACCATTGTATTTTGTTATAGAAAAGCAGGCTAACCTTGTGTAAAGTATAAACTCTTATCATCCTCATGACTCATGAGTTTTCTATATAAGAAACCTACTGCAGGCTTGACGTAGACTCTCTCTTGTCTATCAATAAGTTGTGGAAATGTATTAAAAGCTTGATTAGCACTATGGCTGTTTTTGTCTTGACAGAAAAATAGAAAGTTGAAGGAAAAGTTATTAATGAGACATACTCCATCATCATCGCATCCTAACTATATGGGGTCAGCTACATGAATTTTGTTATAGGTTCTGCTTAATAATTAGTACTACATCCATTGTTAAATTACGAACACTTAAATCATTTTTTAATATTTCAACCTTTGTCTGTTTTTGTTTATCCGTAGACCTTTTAGTTCATCAAACTTGTAATAGATCGCTTTCATATAAGTGTTGTAGGTGGTCTTCTATCCACGTGACCAAACAATCTTAATTTATTTTTTCTCATTTTATCATCTATTACAAGTACTACTATTAAGTTCTTTCGAATGACTTCATTTCTAACCCCCATTTTTCTAGTATTTTCCATTCATCCATCTCAAAATATAATTTCGTAGATGGATAGTTATTAAGGAAAGATGCTAACTGAATAAATACTTATTGCTCCTTTTCGCTATTCATGTGAAACAGGGTATGAAACAATTGATGGCTTGCTATTAATATGTGCATTTGCTAAAAGCACGCTGGCTTAGATTGCACATAATTCTTCATATCCCAGGACATAACTCTCCGCTCCAAATAGAAGAGTGGGTCCATTTGAAATGAATTCTCCCTCCAGTCTCCACCTTCGGTTCCAAGTTCGTGGGCCAACCCTTTTGATGAATCTATTTCCAAATTTCAGGGGTCCATCATGCATTCATTAAAACTGCAAATTACAAAAAATGTAAAATTTGACCCGTTTCCACTGTTCAAAACGCCCAAAAGGTAATAATGCCAATTCGAATGTGTTCACGTTAGGAGACCGACCCGAACCAGAAAAAGTGGTTGGTCATCGACTCATCGTGTGCTGATGTGCTCTTCATTCTTCAGCAAAATAGTTAAATGGGTCGTATTGCATTCGAATTAGGCTAGGCACCCGACCCATTCACCAAATGGATTCTTGGGTTTGCTTTGGTGAAACCCGCACCCGAAAAAGTAAATATAATAGGCATTATTTACCTCCTATGTCCCAGTCACCACTGAATGGGGTACTCATTAGTTCACATGCCCGAGCATCTAGAATCTAAACCCATCATTCAATGGCTCCCAACGCTGTAGCTGCAGTGAGACGAGAAAATCAACCAAATCAGGTGAATGATCACAGCCATTGGTTTAAATATCAGAAAAAAAAATCATGATTATCTAATTCTAAAAAAAATCAGACAATGCGAGTATCATTGTTAGAGAACACTTATCGTTGCTTAAATATTATTAATTAGAAAAAAAGTTTTTAGCATAAGAAGGAAAATAGATGATGCCATAATAATAATTATTAATTATTAATTAAGGAAGTATAATAAACCACTAAGTAGTAATCAGCCTTTCTAAATAAATAAGTATTAACTTATAGTTTTAATAATAAAAGCTTGGTGGGAAAGGCTTCCATAGAAGCTTTTCCTAGGACCCACTACACAGAAACTTTTCGGAAGGTAGAGTTGCCGGAACGAGGCCGACGCCCGCCGGGATCGGACGTCAGACGAAGGATTTCCATTTTCTACGTTTGCCAACTCCACCGCCCCAAAAAAGATTCAATTCAAAGGCTCGAAGAACAGCTAGAAAGCGGTAACATGTGAGCCCCACGGCAGAGTGATGGCGCCTCGGTGTCCACGTGGGCCCAGCTTTTTATGTATGTACGGAAATAGCCTCATGATCGACAGGTACAATGACTTGGCATCTAAACTTGAATAGAAGCTGTTCAAAGGGTGTTTAGGTCATTTAAGTAACAGCTTAACGTTGTCCACACGCAATTAGAATTAGCAGCGGAAAAGTGCCTTTTACCCAAACAAATTTCGATTGTCTAAAACACCCTTGAAAGAAGGAAAAATGTTTGGAATGCGAGACGTGACAGTTATGGTCCTGAGTAGGGCTATTTTGGTAAATACAATCCACACAAGGCCATAATTTGAATTAAATAAAAAAATCAAGTTTTTTCAAGTAAGAATACCAACAGGTGAGGAAGGCATGAACACGAGGCTAGACACTTCAAAAGGACCAGCTTTTTGAATTTTAAACTTGCCCAAATACAGCTTTAGCTAAGTACACACTATGATCGTCACTATAGAAACTCACTCACATTCCTCAACATATCAGATATCATGCCGTTAGTGAAGCCCCGGCCCCATTGATCAGGTGGCTAAAACTACAGTTATGATGAGAGATGCTGTGTATAACCTACACAGATCCGACGGCACGTGTCAGTCAATTTGGCGGTGCCAAGTCAGCATCTTATGTGGAATTAACAAAAAGTTGGCGGGTCGGAGGGAGAGAGAGCTGGGGTGGCTGCATCCTCTCTCTCTCACTCTCTCTCTCTCTCTCTCTTGCTTTTAAGTTTACCAGCAGCAGCAGCACCTGCACTTCCTCTCCTTTTCAATTCTTATTAAGCATACCTTTCTAGCATTCTTTCCTTATTTTTCGTTCACTCTCTGCAATCCTCCATCTCATCATTCCTTCAAAATACGCTTCATCTCACCCTGACACCTCTTCCTCTTCTTCTACTTCTGAAACACAGCATCTATTAATCGACCTCCGTCACTCTCATCTGAATTCAGAACTCGATGATCGTAACATAGATTGTAGATTTTTAATCATGGTAAGCTTCCTATTCATCTGTTGTTCATTTTTATTCATCAGCTATAATCTTTTGTTCTGTCCAAATACTGAGTTGGATGATCATCATATGCCTATGTTTTTCGTTTCTCCCTGATCTTTGGTTGGTGCAGGGGACTCCGGTGAATATTATTGTCGGATCACATGTATGGGTAGAGGATTCGGAACTCGCATGGATTGATGGAGAAGTAACAGAGATCAAAGGCAGTGATGCCACCATAGTTACCACAGATGGAAAAACGGTAACCTTAACTGCTTCATTAATTAAACACTCTCGTTCCCACTAACTTGGAATGTACCAGACGATCTGCATTAGATTTTTCGGTGTGTGTGTTTATATGTTAATGTAAATATGTTTCTTTATATAATTGAATTTACGGTGTACAAACGGGCGAAGAAATTTGAATCTAAAACAGTTTAGAGCACTGCAAGCCATTTTCAGGGGATTATACAATATTAAACAAACATGCATCAAATGTCTACGTGACGTTAAGTTTCTGAAAATTTAACAAATGTCTAAGTGACGTTAAGTTTCTGAAAATTTAACATCTGTATTGTTGTTAGATTTCTGGACCGGGTGAAATCTCATATGGATGAAATATTTAACTAGAGAACCCAACAGCTGGTCATGGGCAAGAGACTACTAGTCAAACAGTCAATTATATTTGCATCTCTATTTTGTTCTTGAAAGAGACGCATCGGAATTGATGACTTATGAAACTTCTAATCATCTATTGATCAGATACAACTCGAAGTAAAACTTTTTTTTTCGAATTTCAGGTTGTGGCCAATCTCTCCAGCATTTACCCGCAAGACACAGAAGCACCACCAGCTGGTGTCGATGATATGACTAAATTAGCTTACCTCCATGAGCCAGGGGTCCTACATAACCTTGCATCTCGGTTTGCTCTTAATGAGATATATGTGAGTCCATTAATTTCTACTCAGTGTATGTTATGAAAGTTGTGCTGCCCAACATGTTATAGACAGAAATTGAGAAAACTAACAATAATTGGAATTAACAGACTTATACAGGGAACATTCTAATAGCAGTAAATCCTTTTCGGAGGTTACCACATTTGTATGATGTTCATATGATGGAGCAGTACAAGGGAGCTACTTTTGGGGAGCTCAGTCCCCATCTTTTTGCTGTTGCAGATGCTTGCTACAGGTATATCTGATACATATTTGGGTTCCAGACCAACATTGATAATTTGAGTTATCTGATACATATACTCGGTAAATTTACTCCATATGTCAGAGCAATGATCAATGAACAAGGAAGCCAATCCATCTTAGTAAGTGGAGAGAGTGGTGCTGGAAAAACAGAGACAACAAAAATGCTTATGAGATATCTTGCTTTCATGGGCGGCAGATCAGGGACCGAGGGAAGGACAGTTGAACAACAGGTTTTGGAGGTAAGCATTATTGTACTTACTTTATAATATGAGATTTTCATGTAAAGACTTAGACTAATTTATTTGTCTTCTTCTTCAAAAAAAAAAGGATTAAGTTATTTGTCTACCATGTCTTACAGTCTAATCCTGTCTTGGAAGCATTTGGCAATGCCAAAACTGTGAAGAACAACAACTCCAGGTGAGAATTTAAGGCATTCTTCCATTTTATATTTCAACTAACAAGAAGTTTTATGACAAGGGGATTGTGTGTATCAGTCGTTTTGGTAAATTTGTTGAGATCCAATTTAATAAGCATGGAAAAATCTCTGGAGCTGCTGTTCGTACATATCTTCTTGAACGGTCACGTGTTTGCCAGGTCTCTGATCCTGAGAGGAACTACCATTGCTTTTACATGCTTTGTGCAGCACCACCAGAGGTACCCCATGTCCTAAGTTGGTTGTATACCTGCTTAATGATGCACAGTTTAACTAAACAATAATGCAATCTACTGCAATGTACCTGATTTATGCCAAATGACCAGCTAAAACTGACGGTCCCTCACAGGATGTAAAGAGGTTCAAGCTTGGGGACCCAAGGACATTCCACTATCTAAACCAAACAAACTGTTATGAAGTAGCAAATGTAAATGATGCCAGGGAGTATCTGGAGACCAGAAATGCAATGGATATTGTGGGGATCAGTGAAGAAGAACAGGTACTATGTAGGAAAAGAAATTAAAAATAAAAAGAAAGATGCTGTGATATATTTGAATTAAATGAGGTTTTTCTTTGTGCAGGATGCAATATTCCGGGTAGTAGCTGCAATCCTTCATCTCGGGAATATTGACTTCATCAAGGGGAAGGAAGTAGATTCTTCCAAAGTCAAGGATGAAAAGTCACTCTTCCATCTTCAAACAGCTGCTGAGTTGCTTATGTATTAATTCTGATCTTGGTCCACTTAAATGAATCTTGTTTGTTAGTTCGCTAATGGATGCTTTTCCTCCCTAGTTTGTTCCTGATATAGAACTTGGTGCTTCTACCCAGGTGTGATGAGAAGGCTCTAGAAGATTCACTTTGTAAGCGTGTTATAGTTACCCCTGATGGTAATATTACAAAACCTCTTGATCCAGCCGCAGCTGCATTAAATCGTGATGCCCTGGCAAAAACAGTGTACTCCAGACTATTTGACTGGTAAATACTTCAGTCGTCAGTAGAAAATTAATTCTTACAAATTGTATCATCCCAGAGATGGAAATTAAACTAATCCAGCTCTAGGTTTCTGAACTTCGGCACACACAAATATATCAATCTTGTCAAGGCTACTTTGCACACCTTTACAAATCAACTAAATCAAAATCCTCAGAAAAGTTAGACTGAATCAGAGGATGCAAGTACATCAAAAACTTTTCCACCTGTAAAACTTGCTTGAATTGACTAGGTTCAATCCAGTTTTTGACCAACTTAAATCAATTATATTTCCTCTTCCTAATCAGTAACAACTATCAAAAGAGTATTATAAATACAAAATAATATCAAAAAGTTCTACACTCAAAGCTTTCTCTGAGATCTTTTAACTAAAATGTAATAAATGAATTCCCCCTATTTCTTTTCTTTTTGTTATGTCTTTTAGGATTTATGCTTTATTTTCTCTGATTCTTCATTGTTATATTCTAATTTAAGTTCTGAATTTTATCCATTTTGAGTTGCTAGATGCTTTTATTGTTGACTCAACTAAACCAATTCTTATTTTCCGATCTATATTCTTTAATCTCTCTCTCTCTCTAAACTTTGGGGCAAGGGCATTAGTATACTGACTGATGGTCAGTATTCAGAATACCAATGTTAAACCCTCTATAAATATCTTTCATATCTGGAATACTTCTAGTGTGCATTAGTTCCTTTTTTCTAACTCTAATCTATTCTAGGAGAGTTTTCTTGGTAAAAGAATCACTACGATAATTCCATATATGGTATGATGTTCATTTTTATTATCCCCAATAGGATTGTGGACAAAATCAACAGTTCTATTGGCCAGGATCCTAACGCTGCCAGCATAATTGGAGTTCTTGACATCTATGGGTTTGAGAGCTTCAAAGTTAACAGGTAATCCATACAGTTTTTTGAGGTTCCCCATGAGGTAGACATTCTAAGCCTCGATCCAATTGTCAATTAGATCTCATAATATGCCTGTGTGTCAGCTTTGAGCAGCTTTGCATCAACTTCACCAATGAGAAGTTGCAACAGCATTTTAATCAAGTAAGAATAGAAAAAAAATTGATTTCATCTGGTCACACCCAAACAGAAGGCTTTCACTATGTGGTCACTGAGAACTGATAAAACTTCTATGTCCCACAGCATGTATTTAAAATGGAACAGGAAGAGTATACAAAGGAGGAGATCAACTGGAGTTATGTAGAATTTGTAGATAACCAAGATGTGCTGGATCTTATAGAGAAGGTATTTTATCAAAGTCAATTTTGTATTATTACAATGCTATTGCTACATAATTCAGATCAGGAAAAGGAGAAAAAGAAAAGACCTTGGAATACTGATTCTTTGTGCCTATATGCAGAAATCTGGAGGAATAATCGCTCTTCTTGATGAAGCATGGTACACACTTCTCACATCTTATTTTATTAACATCCCTACATGAAAAAAGATCATAACAACAGAATGTCAATCTATTTCAATTTTAGTCAATATTTTGAGTTTATATCTTACACTTAGGGCACTGGGCACATATTGATTTAACAATTGATGATTTCTAGATGTTCCAGTCCATGAAACATCATATTCACTATCCCTTCTTTCTGCTCTCAGCAACTCCCTGCATCTCTCTTCTGCTATATCTTCTCCCCTGCTCCACAAAAATGTAGTATAAAGCATAAAGGCAGAATAAACTCTTCTTGACCATTAATTTAATTTAACTTCTGGTGCAGTATGTTTTTCACTAGTTGATTAACTTCTAGATGTTTCAGTTCATGAAATATCCTACTCTGACCACCTCCTCCCTACTCTCAACAACCTTCACAATCTTTCTTGTGCCATATCCTCAACTTAATCTATGGTGCAGTATGTTTCCAAAGTCCACCCATGAGACATTTGCACAAAAGATGTATCAGACATATAAAGGACATAAGCGCTTCAGCAAACCCAAGCTTGCCCGTACAGACTTCACCATTAACCATTATGCTGGTGATGTAAGAAAATCCTGAAATTATGACTTAAACTTCAAGTTCTTTATTTTATGATAACTAGTTAGTTCCTAATTCTTAGAGTTAATGGACAACAGGTTACATACCAAGCAGATCATTTTCTAGACAAAAACAAGGATTATGTTGTAGCAGAACATCAAGCTCTGCTGAATGCATCCAAATGCTCTTTTGTTGCAAATCTCTTCCCTCCACTGCCTGAGGAAACTTCAAAGCAATCCAAATTTTCATCTATTGGTACCCGCTTCAAGGTAAGTCAAGATTATACAAGGTATAAATTAAAAGTAAATATTGAAACCTCTCCATCCTGATTCATTATTGCCTTCGAAATCATAATCCAGCAACAACTGCAATCTTTAATGGAAACCTTGAACATGACGGAGCCACATTACATCAGATGTGTGAAGCCAAATGCTGTTCTAAAGCCAGGAATCTTTGAGAACTTCAATGTCTTAAACCAGTTGCGATGTGGGGTGAGTTCCATCCTCTATGATAACTGAATGTGAAGACTTTGGCATTGTTTACTCTATGCTTCTATTATAAATAATTTCCTTCTGGTGGACACTGTGGCAGGGTGTGCTAGAGGCAATTAGAATAAGTTGTGCTGGTTACCCCACAAAGAGAACATTTGATGAGTTCCTTGATCGTTTTGGAATGCTTGCTCCAGATATTCTAGATGGGTATAAGTTTCTTACTCCTCCAAACCCCAACAAAAAAGTAAAACTAAAAACAAAAAGAACCTTCAAGATTTGGTCTATAGGATGGGAATATGGGATGAGAAAACGTAGCCTCTCATTGGTAGTACTATGTGCCTTGACCAACTATGCCACTAAATGTAAACGTAGTAAACTATTTGCATTGATGACTCTTCATCTTATATAATAGCATTATTAGTAGATTCAATGACTGTAATTTAACTTCAGTGCTTTGTATCCTTTATCCTATGACAGCTCTGATGAAAAATCAGCATGTGTAGCCGTATGTGACAGAATGGGTTTGAAGGGCTACCAGGTATGTCCAGGAGATGGGATTAAATACAATATAAAAATAAATAAACAAAACTTGTCACCCCTCTCCATGGCTTTATTAAAGAAATATTTTAATTGATAATTGCCCTCAAATATTAATTTTCTATTACAGATTGGGAAGACAAAGGTGTTTCTTAGAGCTGGGCAGATGGCTGAATTAGATGCAAGAAGAATTGAAGTCTTAGCTAATGCTGCAAGACGAATCCAGAGACAAATCCGTACACATCTCACTAGGAAGGAGTTCATTTCCCTACGGAAGGCAACCATTCATATGCAGAAACTATGGAGAGGTTTCTTGTTCTTAAACCATTTATGTTTCTCATGAAATCTCTGAAGAAATCTATTATCCAGATGGTGAGATGATCTTCTTTTTTTTTTGCTTCTGCATCATACAGGGCAGCTTTCACGCAAGCTATATGAACACATGAGAAGGGAGGATGCCTCAATTCGAGTGCAAAAACATGCACGAGCTCATACAGCTAGAAAAGCATATAAAGAATTACGGGCATCAGCAATTGTTATTCAAGCTGGTTTGCGTGCAATGGCAGCACACAATGAATATAGATACAGAAGGAGAACCAAGGCTGCAATGATTATGCAGGTAGATACATTCCCTCTAGAACCTTATAGTTCAATCCTTGGAAACCTCAATTCTGAGATGAACAACAGAAAGGACTCTAAAGAATCAGACTAAGTCATCAAGACCAAGGAAAGTAATATATTAATTCTTGCATTTTACAGACTTGGTGGCGGAGATTCCAAGCACTTTCTGCTTACAAACAGAAGAAGAAGGCATCTGTTACACTTCAGTGTCTCTGGAGAGCTAGGGTAGCAAGGAAGGAACTTAGAAAGCTCAAAATGGTGAGCTCTTTCTTCTTTGTACAACCAAACATTATTTGTTTAAAGGAATCTTCTGAACTATTTTTTTAAACATAGCCTTTTCTGTAATGGCTATGTGAAAACAAAAAATAAACTTTATGTAGATAAAAGTTGATTGCGACATTTTCCATGCAGGCTGCTAGAGAAACGGGGGCACTAAAAGAAGCCAAGGATAAACTGGAGAAGCGCGTTGAAGAGCTAACATGGCGACTAGAATTCGAAAAACACATGAGAGTATGATTCTCTTTCATTTTGTTTAATCTACCTGGATATTCTTGAAAGGCTTCACCATGTACAGTAGAGTACAACAATTCTATATTTATGTTTTCAGACCTTTACTCATCACCAATAGAATCATCTAGGTATTGAGATAGCCATGTGAAATGGAATCTTTTGTATTGGCTAGTTGGTTTATGTCATCAATAGTGATGTTGAAAGCAGTAAATCCATGGGTTCTTAATTCATAATGCCTTGGCAGGATAATATCAGAGATTTGGAATCCCTTGAGCATTTTTGACATGTACTAGATTGTACAAGTAGCCAAACAACCTTTTTACAATTGAGATACTAAATATTGATGCTAAGTGCTTAAGTAATAAGGTCCTTTTAAGCTTATTGAATAAATAATCCATTTTCTTCTCGTAGATTGACCTTGAAGAAGCAAATGGAAAAGAAATTGCAAGGTTGCAATCTGCTTTGCATGAAATTCAAGAACAATTGGATGAAGCTCAAGCTGCAATCATCAGAGAAAAAGAAGCAGCAAAAATAGCCATTGAACAAGCACCACCAGTCATCAAAGAAGTGCCTGTTGTGGACAACACCAAGATAGAGTTCCTGACAAATCACAATAGGGAACTTGAGGTCAAATCTTAAGGCTCTTCAGCTTCTATTAGGGAATATTATCAATTTTATAAACCAAGTATGAATTATGAATATACAGGATGAGCTAAGTAAGCTAAATAAGAGGGTTGAAGAATTTGAAAGAAGATATTCTGAGGTTGAGAAAGAGAACATATCAAGGCTCAAAGAGGCAGAAGAATCACAGTCAAGAATATCTCAGTTGCAAGAGACTATTGAAAGGTGATAAAACTAATGCTAATAAGTTTCTATTAAATTGGCAATTGAACAATCATAATAGATTTTGACTACTTCCTGTCTTTTCCTTCAGACTAGAATTGAACTTGTCCAACTTGGAATCTGAGAACCAGGTTCTACGTCAGCAGGCTTTGGTTGCATCAGCAAATGAGGAGCTCTCTGAAGAAGTGAAAATGTATAAATATATAACATAGAACTCCTTTTTATCTGCATACTTAAAAGAAAGGTTCAAAGAAGGAAAAATCTTGATTCCACAGTCACCAAAAAAGTTGATAACTAGGTTAACTAGGGAAATATTATATGACTAGTAGACTATAAGAGAATTTGTCAAAGATCAACTTTCACCAGCATAGTGATTGGACTGAGTTAACTTTGTTAAGTGAAACTGCCTATTGATTCATCTACCTTTTTGTATATATTGAATTAAGTTATAGTGTCATAACTCATAACCATGGGTTTTCCCAATCTTGGGCTTTTTTTTTGTGGCTTCAAAAGACAAAAAGTTTTGCAATCTGAAAGAACTTCACTTCTGTCCAGCCTTCAAAGCAAGATTGCAAAGCTGGAGTCTGAGAATGAAATGCTCCGCAATCAGGCACCAGTCATAGTAGAGAAATTGGTTACTCCTGACCGGACACAGCCACAAGTCACCAAGGTACACTGACAGTCAAACATTCATTGTATAGTACATTTCTATGAACTTTTCATTGACTTATATTTTATAATGGTAAAGAGTTTTGAGAATGGACATCAAACAGAAGAAGAGTTGAAGACAACAAAAGTATGCTCAGCATCATTCAATGAAGTTTCCTTAAATAACAGGCCATTGATGAGAAACAACTGTTCTTTAAAATTAGTTAATAATCTGAAAATTGTTCTGTTTTGCAGGAGTCAGTGCCTCTTGCAGTTCCCCTCAATAAACAAAAATTCCTAACAGATAGGCAACAAGTATGCAGCTGAACTTTACAATAGGAATCTTTACATGAATGAGTGATCTCCAACAGATATTGCTTGTTCGACATGCATTACTAACATTATTATTTTTTCCTATTCTAATCAGGAAAGCCATGATATGCTTATAAAGTGTCTCATGGAAGATAAGCAATTTGACAAGAACAGACCTATTGCTGCTTGTATTATCTATAAGACACTTCTTCAGTGGAGATCCTTTGAAGCAGAAAAGACAAACATATTTGATCGGATTATTCATACAATCCGTTCATCAATTGAGGTGGTGCCATTTCAGAATCCTGAAGTTATTTGACATGTTATGGATATCTTCTAATTAAGCAATAGATATACAAGTTAGAGTGATAAAAATAGGTTTTACATGTAAGATTGATTTTCTTCATTATACCTTACAGAACCAAAACATCAGTGAACTTGCCTACTGGCTCTCAACAACATCTACCCTTCTGTTTCTTCTACAAAATACACTCAAGGCAGGCAATGCACCAAGCCTTACACACCGTAGCCGAACCTCACCAACCACCTTGTTTGGTAGAATGGCTCAAGTAAAGCTCTCTCTAGTAAAATTATTTTAATTTCACATACCCTGTATTACAAAATGAGGGGATGTAAAAAATATAATGGTCTGAGATATATTGTCAGGGTCTTCGTTCATCACCATCAGGGATGGGGATTTCAAGTGGGTACAGTGGAATGGTAGGCAAGCCTGAAATCCAATCAAGAGTTGAAGCTAAATACCCTGCCCTACTATTTAAACAACACCTAACCGCATATGTTGAGAAGATATATGGGATGATCCGTGACAGTTTGAAAAAAGAGATTACTTCATTCCTGAATTTGTGTATACAGGTAAGCAGTTTATATAAGCATGAGTTTCCAATTCAAGAAAAATAATCTGCATACTTTGAACCTTTCTACAACTAGATTCTCATATTAACAGGCACCAAGATCTGCAAGGGTCAGATCAGTAAAAGGGTCATCTAAAAATATACATTCAAATATAGTTGCAAAACAACAAGCATCAAGTATACACTGGCAAAGCATTGTTGGATGCCTAGATCATACCTTGGATATAATGTGCAACAATTATGTAAGTGGGAATCCTCCATCATCTCATCATCATCATCATCTTAATGTTCAATAACCAACTTCTAAGATGTACAGGTTCCTTCCATGATCATAAGAAAAACCTTCAGTCAGGTGTTCTCATTCATAAATGTGCAACTTTTTAACAGGTATACAACTTTTGCCCATCCCATAAAGCCCATGCCCAGAAAATCCTTTTGTGATTCTGGGTTCCTAAAATCACCTAGAACTAGATATAATGGTAGTATCTACTTTTAAATTGCAAATGATTATCAATCCCAACCATCTAAGCAATACAAACCCCATTGGTTTTTTCTGCAGTTTATTGCTTCGTCGTGAGTGCTGCTCATTTAGCAATGGAGAATATGTAAAAGCTGGTTTGCAAGAACTGGAGCAGTGGTGCACCAAGGCAACAGACCAGGTAAGTATATCTTCCTAGCCAAGCCATATTATATTCCAGGATGGAGAGGAAAGAAAATACTCATAACTCCATTGTGTTGCAGTTTGCTGGATCCTCATGGGATGAACTCCAGCACATAAGGCAGGCTGTTGGGTTTTTGGTATGTATGTTTCATCTCTGATCACCAATTTTATTACCTGATTTCAAGAGTACGCATTCTCTATTAATTTAATTGTTTTTCTTTTCCTGTATGCAGGTTTCACATCAAAAGCCTCACAAATCCTTGGATGAGATCACAAATGAAATCTGCCCGGTAAGCTGAACAGAAGCTATACATTTATAATAGCCAACTAAACATTTTAGTGAAACTCAACTTTCAGTACAAGTACAACTGCTAGTAATTCTCTATGAAAAAGATCCATTAAAGCTACCAATTTCTTTTTCCAGGTATTGAGCATTCCACAGATATATCGCATTGGGACAATGTTTTGGGATGACAAATATGGGACCCAAGGATTATCTCCAGATGTATGTTTTCCTTGAAAATATACTTACTTATTGCTTCTCCATTTTCCTCAAAATGTTTGGGAGTCCCTGCTATAAAATATTAAACCTACAGTAGCCTACTTTGACATCTATCATGTTTGGAAAGATCCTCAACAATGGCTCAATCCTTCTCATGCATTCCATGCCCTTTCCTCTTTCTCCTCTTTCCATGTTATATAAGAAAGCAGATGTAAAATAGATGGCCCCAAAAGTTGCCTTTGGTTCTCTTTCTTTAACATGTCTAGGAAGCGAACCCACAAACAATAGAATCACTGGTTTCTGGACTTTGAAACCACTTTCATGCATCTCAGACATCAGAAAGAATTAAAATAGAACCTAATCCTACAACTTTGGCAATTGGGTCTCTCAGGTAATTGGCAAGATGAGGACACTGGTGACAGAAGATTCAGCTAGCATGCCAAATAACTCTTTCTTGCTTGACGTTGACTCAAGGTAATCAATCATAGAAATCCACTAATTGCCTATTTTTCCCCAAAAGGTGGAACTAATAACAATATAGACCTTATAAGAGTGAAGAAGAAAATCTCTTAATTTTAACTACTGATTTTACAAATTGCAGCATACCTTTCTCTCTGGAAGAGATATCCAGATCATTTCAAGACATAAGCCTGTCCGACGTGGACCCACCCCCTCTGCTCCGTCAGACTTCCGAGTTTAATTTCCTGTTGCAACGGACAGATTGAGCACCACTGTCATTTTTCCCCTTTGCATCCATACAGATAAAAGAAAAGAAACAGTATGACTTATTATTATTTTTTCATTATTTTCACAAGTGAGTGAGTGTTCGGTATGTAAATTTTCCTCTTTTATTTTTTCCTCATTCGGTCATAGATTTTTTTTTTTTTTTTATTCAAAGTTGTGCCATTGGGATTGAGCGTCCAGAGTGAAGAAAAGACTACATATATTTTTTCTTTTTTTTTTCTTCAATGTAATAAGAGAAAGGCAGAAAGAAAGAGCGAGCAACTGTAGTTTTTTCTCTTTTTTTTTGGGATAGATGAGTAATTGTAGGTTCTGTATGTATGTTTTTCATCCTTGAAATTGGTTCTTGTTGATCAGGCAAGCTTTGTTATCGAGTGCAGGATGAAACCCTGATAAAGCTTCCAAAACCTCCATGAATGCAAATGCAAATCAAAACTTCAATCTCTTCTATTATTTGGCAGATTAATAGTGAGTAGAGATAAAAACAGAAGAAGTTTGTTAATGAGAAGCGAGAGTACCTAAATTAAGCCCAAGATTTCGTAAAAGTTAGAACCTGAGATGGCTGTCCACAGTCGCTATTGAAGACTCTATATTCAATCTAGATAGGAAGTGGGAAATCGTCCATTTGTGCAATGCATTTATAGGTTTGCGTTTACTCTCTCTCTCTCGATATAACATTTGCCCTTGGATTTCGGCAGATTTACAGATAGTTTCTAACGGTTGTGTGGCTTTCCATTCCAAGTTCTAACGTGTCAAACGGTTTCGCGGGAAATGGAAGAGGTAAGCGTATTTCGGTTGAAACCGAAAAGCTGAAGCGAATTTTTTTGGTTCAGTTATTTTGGTTTTTCGGTTGAAGTATTTTGGTTACCGGTTTCGGTTCTCAGATTTGAAAGTTCGGTTAACCAAAAAAAATCGGTCTGATCTGGTTTTAATTGGATAGGAAATTCGGTTCGGTTTTGGCTTCTCTCTTAGAATTTCAATTAATTCGACTTGTCGTCTATTCGATTCAGCTATTAATCAAAAGAACTGAATGCCCACTCACAAATTTTCTTGAAACAGGTCAAACCCCGAAACAGTTACTGTAGGGGCGTATCGGAGGGTCACGGATACGATAGATATCGGCCAAATACAGTCTAATACAGAAGCAAGGAAGGCTTCTGGGCTGAAAACCGGCAACTTGTCGCCAGAAAACCTGTTTCTCGACAAGTCCATCAACAGCAGGCGATGAATGTTAGAAATGGATTCAGGAACTGACCCAGAAAATCTGTTATTAGACAACAGGAGTATCACGAGAGCTCTAGCCTTGCCGATGGTTGCTGGCAATTCCCCTAAGGAGTTGCTTCTCGAAAGGGAAAGACGAGTTAATTTGAGATTGAAACAGACGAGGTGGGAGCGAATCTGTAACTCTGTAAGCTTGTTGTCTGATAGAATTAGACTGCCAATATCCAGTTCAGCAAGCCATTTGGAGAAAGGGTCCTTGAAGTTCATTCTCACTCAAATCCAAGAAATCAAGACTTGTTTGAGTAGAAACCCAATCGGGATGCCGCTAGCAATTCGACCAGGATCTCAAAGACAATTTCCACTGTTATTCCAGATTTCCAGGTGAGGCTATTCCCTCCAAGATGAAACTCGTTCGGGCCTTTGATGTCGAACAACCATGGAGGAATCACTCCGGAGAGCCTGTTATTGTTGAATTGAAGTGTTTCCAACCTGCCCAACTTCTGTATTAAGGATGGAATTCCGCCAGTCAATTGATTCCGGCTTAAGGCCAAAGTCGAGAGGTCGGAAAGTTCTCCAATATCAATAGGAAACTCCATCGACAAGGAATTGTTTCGCAAGTCCAACACCTGCAATTCCCTTGAATTCAAGATTGATGATGGGATCCCACCAGAGAATTGATTCTGGCGAAGTGATAAATAGTGCAAATTGCAATTGAGTGAGGTTTCCAACCTCCATAGGGATAATTCCATAGCCATGGAGAAAATTCTCGTCCAAATCTAACAGCTCCAAGTTCTGTAAGAGCACCCACATCCCCACTTAGAGTTCCACTGAAGGAGTTACTACTTAAATCGTGGTAGCGGAGACGTGTCAGACGGAACGGAACAACAGAGGAGGAATAGACCCGTTGCCGTTGGCGAAGGCCACCTGCAAAAAATTCTCCTTGTATGAAATTGGATGAGATGTCTAGTGTGATGAAGCTTCTAATTTGGAAGAGTGGAATCAAGACCGTAGAACTCACAGTCACAGACTCACAGGAGACTCTGGAGCTAGTCTGGGGACATTAATGGAGTAAAAATTAATTGAGACCGATCGATCACAGGCCTTGAAGGGGATGACCGAGTATCACATACAGGTCACCATGTTCCACTTACAACAACCAGAATTGGAGTTCCATGTCACTATATAATCCAAAGAACTGCTGCTCATCAGAGGAAACATTATTTGTAATGGGTTTTCCAATCAGTGCAGATTTGAACTGAAGAAGGGTTGTTTGTGATGTTCTGGACAGCAGACACAAGCATTATACGAGAGCGCAAATATGAAGAAATAAGATCCATTTAATTTGGGTTTCCCCAGACGCAACTCTCAGCAGAAGGGCCTAGCTCGGATACATGAAGTAGTTGAAGGTGAGGAGGGGTGTCTAGGAGGAAGTAGAAGCAGCGCGAATATTATACGTGTACGAGAGTCGATGCAGCAAAGACTTGAGAAAATATTGGTGGCAATAGTGGCTTCTGTTGACACTTGAATATGAGGGTTTCGGAGTATTGAGTCAGTCAACTTCATTATCAAGAGCTTTTGGAATTTGCAAAGCCATGTATTAAATGGAGCCAATTATATTAACACACTGCCAGCGGGAGCCCAGGGAATGGGTTGGTGGATGTATTTTTATTTTGACTTATTTTTTTGTGTAATACAGGGAATATAAACTACATAGAATGATAGAATAAAATCATTCGACCCAACTCTCTACCAGTTCTCTTCTTAATTTTCTTTGACCCATTTATTTTTTTGGCCTGGAGTGGGGGTTATTGGCCCATAACCATAAGATAATCAATTTGAGAAAACCCACCTGATTACCTCTCTTCTTTCCATTCAGAAGATGCGAAATAAGGGAACCAAATGGTCAGGATTTACAGGTGGGGTTAGGGTTACTCTCTCAACAGGCTCAGGTTTTGGTTTGGTGCCTACTCTGATTGGTGGCCCAATTAAACATTTTTGGCCTCTTTTACCATTAATATGAACCTAAACAAATACAAAATACTATATGTTTATATTCATAATTCTAACTTAAAATAAAGAAATAATATTAAAAATTATTACTTTATAAATATTAATGAAGTAAACAATTTACTAAATTTACATTTATATCAAAAATTGTTTTTTACTCTCAATAAATTTATACAAATAAAAATATTAATAATAGATAAATATTTTAGTACTTAAATTTCATAAATTTGTACATTATATGTATCTTCAAATTTTATATATTTATTTATAAATTATTCATTGATATTTTAATTTAGACTAAAAATAACATATTTATTATTTACAAAAATAAAAAATTGTTTACAAAATATTCAAGAATATAATATTAAATTGAATTTATCAAATCCACTAATTTAAATTTATATAAAAAATGATTTGTTATTTAAGAAAAACTATAGAAAATAAAAATGTTAATAATAGAATCATTGCTTTAATAATTAAAAATTATGAATTTCATATGATATGTATCTTAGAAATTTTAATAATTTTGATATACTTTTAGTTAAGATTAAAACTAAAAATATGGTAATAATATATGTATCTTAGAAAAATTATAAATTTCATATGATAGTAATTTTGATATTATCAAACATTTCAAAATTTAATATTTAATTGACTTTTTTGTTAATGTTGAAAAGTAAAAATATAAAATAATTGTTATAGTAATTAAAATATAATAATTGCATATGTATTGTGTCTTGAACTTAAAAAATTTAACATAATAATGGTTTTGTGCATATTTTACTCTGTAAAAACTATATAATATGAATTTTGGACTCTTGATTGTTGGATTATTGACAGAATTGTAAGATATTTATGTATTTTGTTATATTAGTAGTATATTTCTTTATGTGTTTCTGCTTTGTGGTTATTTTGACTTTTAAAATTAGTGTAATTGATGTAATTATGAAATTTGTATCATTTTCATAACGTATCCATGTGTTTTCATATCTTTTGTTCGTATCCATGCGTTTTCAAAAGGTATCTGTATCCGTATCCAAACTGTCTGATATAATACCCGATACCGATACTTTGATCCTTACATATTTCCATATGCAGCGGTTTGATCATCCCACCACCTTACATGGATACATGTCGAGTGTACGAGCTACACATTCACTTGGTTACTTAGCCCATTATACACATTTGTATTCACAGCAAATCTAGAATCATCTCTACTAACTACCTACTCACCAGTCACCAGAGAAGGATTAGCATTTCTCCCAAGCTAATGCTGAACATCATGGTGCAGTGTTTCTTCATAATTTCTTCTTTTTTCCCATGATGGTTGATATTTTTTTTTCTTTTCTAGAAAAAAAGATGTAGCCCTATAGAATGAACGGGCTGAAGGAGGTTTGCCCGGACGTTTAGCTTTTTTTTTTACATTTATGCACGTTGAAAGTTGAAACAGTCTATCTGCAGGGGTAAGGCTGTGTACATCCGTCGCTCCCCAGATCCTGCATTGGCGGGAGCCTGGTGAAGCAGTCTCTTCTCTTGTAACGGGCATTAGATCTTCGTACCAGACTAGCAGCAAACTCTCAGTTTACTTACAGATTTAACAGGAATGTCTTAGTTTCACGAGTCCCAAGTCCCAACCGCCGAGTTACTATATGAATTATATTTTGAACAAAAATCTGCCTTGCTGATTCCGAGAACATGTTACAGCATTTACAAAGGCATTGAATATGGATCCAGCATGAGATGCTAGAATTATGTTTCACTCATCGCGCAAAACTAACCTAATGGATGTCAAGACAAAAACCATGTCCAAGACTCCAAGCACAAATCTTCTCATCTTTCAAAAATTGAATAGCGTATACCATTAGTATTTCTGTGGCTAAAAAGAATGATGATATATACCCAAAAGGTGCACTAACTGACAGTCCGACCATAACAAATGGATGCTATGTAAAGGTTCTTGGACCATTTTTCCTGCAAAAAAACAATTGTTAGTGTGATGATAAAAGGCTATTGGCACAGGAATCAGAATGTAAACAAGAATCTACTGACCTTCACGTGCGTGCTAGGGAAGGCAGATGTACGCAGAGTTTCTTGTGTTTCATCCATCAATTTACGTTTTGGAATACTCAATATGAATGCGGCTTGATCTACTGTGGCAGCGGTTGAGGTTATCCTGTAACCACTCTCCCATCGCTTGTGTATTCCTTCACTTGGGTACAGAAAATCAAGCTCAACAACCTTCATGTAAGAAAAAAAAAAAGCAGAAGTGGTATGTGTTACATAACAAGAAAAGTGATGAGAATAGTGGGGGTACGGGGTGGAAGTGGAACAACCGAACAGACTGGGCAGAAAAATGATGAAGTCCTCATACCTGGTCAGAATAACCAGAGTTCCTTGACATTACAACACCCCAGCGGTTTCCAGCAGTGGCCATCGATGTGACATGAAAACCTTCTTTCCACTTTTTGTTAATCCATTTGAAAGGAAAAGATTCACTCACTTTATAGGACTGCTGGGTATAAGGGGTTCCTACAAATCCCAACCATTAAAACATCAATACAGCAGTTGAAAGATCAAATTCCAGGACCATTCTTAAAGAATTAAAAAGGTCCGCTTGATTCCTCATTCCATTGGTGTCAGCTTTGGGAAGCTAATGCCCCGTCTAAAGTTTTTTTTTTTTTTGAAAAGGATAAGGTTTCTTTTACTCATAAAGAAAAGAGAAGGGGTATACAAGAGGTATACAACACAACAAACCCAGCAGATCCCAAAGGAACCCACTTACAACCCGAGCACAACACTCAAGGGCCAAAAACATCACGGTAACCTGATCTTCGGTGAAAACCTAACCACCAGAGGGGCCTAGAACTACAAAACACCCCGAAGAACCAGAAAGAACATGGCCCGCAAGTTAAAGCCCCATCCTAAGTTTCATTCATCAAGCAAACAGCAGTGCTGGACAAAATCTTATCCATCAACCACCTCATTTCATGTGTAAAGGATTTGGATAGTATTCCCATTGTGTGGGAAGGAAGAAGAAACTGCAGACCATTGGTGCCCATTGTGCTTTCTGACAAATGGAGCAGACACATTTCATTAGTATTTGCAAGAGAAGCTGAGTCAAACCCACGGATCACCCAAATCCAATATCATCATTGGCCAGAGGTTTCATCCCAAAAGGGAGCATCATTTGGAATCTGGATCCTTTCTCAATCTGATTAGATCTATGTAAAAAATGGAACAGGTCTATCTTTGATATAAAAGTATACCCAACCCCAATGGTGATTGGAAGAATTGAGTGGTAGCTGGTTTTCTGAGTTTTCATCCTAGAAGAGCTCCGTAGTTTCACATCTGAACGCACTGTAAACAGTGAGAGCACATCATTTATGATTTTTTTACATATCAAGTGTGTTGTGCACATGTATATTTCGTTCATGGTTTTAACTCATTAACCATGTAAAGGTGTCCATTTCAATCTTTTTAGACTTTTTTTAATATCTATACAACCCATCATACTTTAATTATCAAGAAAAGCAAAGCAGACAAGAAAGGAGACAGAAACTGGAGGTGGGGTCCTTGACAAACCTTTGGACATGACAACTAAGGAACTTCCATTTGCTGCACCAGCTATGGAACTGATGTAGTAATTTTTCTCCCATTGTTCCATTATCCAGTCCTGATGACAACCAATCAAGAACCAGTAATGGGCAGTTGTGCTTGTAAATACACCACTCACACACAGCAAAACAATTAAGCCCACCATTACAAACAAACCTTGTGCAGGAAGACAGTTGACAGGTCATAAACCTGGGACAAAAAACATGTGCCTGCATCCATGATGAGTGCCCAAAGGTTTAACGCAGAAGCCACACAACTGATATATAGACCATCTTTGTTGCCTTTCTCTATGTGCTGGGAAAGCCTTGAATCTGCTACATTGTAGTGATATCTACAAAAACCAACAGAAATATTTACTTAAATAATTAGAAGCAAAAAAGGAAAGAAAATAACTTAATGTCTATTTACTGGCTTGTCTTATGGCTAGGCTTACTATATGGCCATAGTTTATAGAAAACAGATCCAGAGAAAATTTTTGTCAAAGCAGACAAGAGGGTATTGTACTTGTCTCCTRMATTTCTACCTCAGATATCTATGGAGTTTGCCTATTTTAATAAAATCTCTTAAAACTGTTGCTTCCAAAAAAGATTGTCAAAGCGGAAGATTGATTGCAAATTCTTTCAAGCAATATCTAGGTTTTCTACCTTCCCTAGAATTGATGCCACTAGAATGAAAGAAATTATAGTATTTTCACAAAAAAAAATATTGCAAACATGACTTGATTGATAATTTTACTGGAGGGGCCAAGAGCTAATGGTGAGGTGAAAAAACATAGGACTGCAAACAGTATCCATTTGCCCAAATTCAATTTTAAACTTGATCTGATTAAGGGTGACCCGGATGAGATTTTATATAATTCAATTGAATATGGATTCACCCCTATCTGATCCAATATAGATCGAAGTGGATTTCATTTATACACACACACAATTTATATAGTCACTATTAGTAAAATTAGTTTGAATACTGTATATTAACAAATAGGGATCAAATATTTTGGGCTCAATTGTAAAGTTTAATTCTACAAGGGGATAGGTGGTAGACACTATCCTAGCTTCAGGTGTATGAAAGCTATGTATAAATCTATTTGTCTTTATAATCAATAATATTACAGTTATCAAAAATAAAAACTTCGTGTTGTGGGAAACATGGATTAGATTACCTCTGCTTTATGGGTTGGCGTGCATTGTAAACAGATATCCACTGAGTGGCAGGACTTCCCAACCGTACCTTCTTCCTAGGTTGTCCATCTTCTTCTAGATTTACAGGCAATCGTGCCCGCTTCTGCCCAACCTATTTATACAATATACCAAGAAATGGTTTATGAAGGGGGACAGCATGATATGGAAAAGGACTGTTAAGAAAATATCCCCAAGTATGCAATTTAGTAACCAATCAGGTGAGCTTTCATAAAAAAAATCACAGAACATTTTGATTGGTCGCCTTTCCGGGCATCATGCATGTATGTATGCATGCTTCTGAAAACTAACAATTACCTTTAAAGCTCCATCTATTCTGATAGGCCTCAAGGATGTACATGGCTCAATCAAGCTGTCAAAAAAGGAAATGAGCTTTGGATAATTTGGTTCTTCATCAAATTTCATATTTGTCACAACCTCAAGGAACTGTTTAAACGGAGGAGGGCAAAAGCAGCATAGCAACTCTGGAGAGGTAGCCATCTTTTTCTTACAAACAAGAAAACTTTTGTTGTCTCCCTGCAATATTGCATAGCAGTGAAGAAGAGGATATCAGGGTTCTTTTTCTTAGGAGCTAGCAGGAGAGAGAAAGAGAGGTTAACATGAAGGCTACATTATATATTTATTATCTACTATTAAATGCAATTACCTGATAGCCCTGCCATGGTAACCTTCCTTTGATGAGAAATATCAACGTGTAAGCTAGTGACTCAAGATCATCCCTTCTACTTCCTGTCCTACCCAAATGTGCATGTACACTTGCATATCTTATCGTTCCCCTGCAAAGAAGAGCAACTTACAAAAAAAACAAGGAATACATTTTGGTGGTAGTTCAAAAATTGACAAAGGCATGAACCTGAAGATGTCAGGCCTCTGATCATAGTCAACATGTCGTCCAAATGAGCCATCCTTCCATCTAGATGCTGAACCGCACACATATTAATGGCACTAGCAAAACTAATCAGAGAATTGGGATTTATTCAAAAAAAAAAAACAGAAAGCTTAAAATCATCTATTATATGGCAAAGCCCATGCAAAAGATTTCCAAATAGGATATAGTATTTATTACTTCTTTGTCTGTCTCCAAAACTGGCATTACTGTATAATCAACATGTAAGAGATGGACATACAAAAACAGACAGATTTTATAAAGGAAAACATACCCAGACCAAGATCAATGAGGAATAGCTTCTTCTCATCAGACGTTCCAGGTTGACCAAGTAGAAAGTTCTCTGGCTTCACATCTCCATGTACAAATCTAAGCCATGAAAAGGAAAATAAATAAATGGACAAAAACTTCCTGAATTTTGTGTATTGACAACAGATTAGTAATCATATGAGAAGATTATAACCAAACACTAGGAGATACCCCTTCAAATGAAGTTTCTCAAGAATTGATATCGCCTCCACAGCAATACAAGCTGCCATATTAGGTGACATCCTGTTATAGGCATTTAAAGGCACAAAACCATGATTAGATAGGGAGTAAGACAGACAAACAGAAGCAGAGAGTTTATTTTTCTTACGACTGGCCTACAGAATTCCAGACATCCCAAAGACTTGGACCAAGCATGTCCATGATCTGAAACATTTATTGAATTCTCAATTAAAAACAATGGATAAATTTACAAGTACTTCTGGATTAGAATAAAGAAGCTTATCACACACCAGAATGTAATAATCTCCTTGGCGACCCCTGTGGTGAACTGAAGGAATTCCATAACAACCATTGAGAGCACTTATTGGCCAAAAAGCAATCAATCAGATATTAAATTTCAGATAGTTTAAGTTGTCCAATAAAAGATCATCTGTATGCAGGTTCAGATACTTACTTGTAGACTTGCCATTCGTAAGGAGGACCATAGTTACAACCTTTACTATTGCGGTGCTCAAACTTCAAGGCCACCTACAAAGGAACAGAGTATGATGTTTACACAGATGCAGTATAAGGAAATATTCAAAGTTGGATTTAAAGTGTTGAATAATACCTCCAAGGCATCTGGTCCTGTACGCTCTGTACCCCCAGCTACCCTTTTGCCAACATAGACTTGACCAAAACCACCCTTACCCAACTTCCTTTCTACCTTATATACAGGAGAATTACCTACTTGTACCTACAAAATAGGGTTTTCTCCTTTGAGTGAGATGCAACATGTGCTAACAGATGAAAGCTGCATGCATCACAAAAACTTTGATGGGAATTATGAAGATGTTGCTACAGAAAAAGAAGGTACAATTGCAAGAATTGTAAATGCAATTGCCTTTCCAATTGTCAATAAGAGTTTCAGTTTTGTTAGTCAGATATAAAACCAACAAGTAAATTTTGTAGCTCGTTCTATCCAATACACTATTGGTATATACAGTGGGAAATGAAGCATAGTAGTGATAGAGAGTAGCAAAGCTATAGGGAAAAACTATAAATGCAGCCCTCATTTGCTTAGATAAAGAGGAAGGAAGACCAATGAGGGAATAATTTCAACTACTTGACTCAAGCTTGGAAGCACTAAGGAATAATGCTCTTGGAGCCATCTGAATGCTTCTGGTTCAAGTTACTTTTCCCTGGAAGTCAGACACTGCAAATCTTACCTGAAGAGAATTATTGCATGGTGTACAACCAGGTATTCAATAGGGATTTAAATGTTGTTTGTTGCCACCTAAGCCTTTTCTTGAAAACCATCTTTTATCGTATTTAAGAACAACTAGTGCTTGATTAAATTCCTCCTAAGGCTTAGATGGATACTGAGAAAAGGAGATAAACTCTCTATCAGATTAGATGTTTGTGGAAGGTCCGCTTTGAATGTTTTGTTGAATGAAAGTGGCTCTAGAGCTATATTGACAGATCAAAAACCAAACCAACTGCTGAAAACATGAAGGAACTTTGGCAGTAGAAAATTGACAATGCCATCCTTTCACAGTGCTAATTATTTCCTGGATCCAAGGCTCAGTTGATATTTGTTTGTCATACCCCTGTATGGCTTCAAAACTACAAAGTAGAGGTGTTAACTCATACAGGTACATGAACAGTCTTTTTTTAGGTAATAAACAAAAAGAAAAAAGAAAACTATATTAAGAATATGCAATTATATACAGGGTACAGGTACATGAACAGTCTTAGCAAGAATATGCAATTAAATGGAGGCCCTCCTTTCAATAGCTAATTATAAGCACACAGATAGCAACAACAACCTTTCTATTCAAGGCACTGCAAAATTCAAATATTTAAACCAAACAGATCAACTTGTGTCATTGGCAGAATGATAATCTCACCATGATGGTCATTTAGCAACAAGTCTTGGAAGAAGAATACCAAACTTGTCATCTCAAAAACCAATATAGCTACTGGGCTGCAACTGGAGGCGGTCCAAGTCCAGCCCTGCCCCATCCCGATTAACATTTTATGAATTCAAGCAGGCCCAACCCAGCCTAAACTATAAGATTCATTATAGAAGCATTTTGTGATTGGTTTTTGCTTATAATTTAAATAATTAAGTGTCACACAAAGCAGCATTGTGTGTGTGCGAGTATAAACTTATGTGTAAATGTATAAAGATATATTTTAACTTCAGGCCTGCCTTCAGGGAGCTGGGCTCTGGTAGGACCTGTACATTTATCCACAAATTTCTTGGCAGTCTCAAAGGCTCTTGATCACTTCCTCCACATAAAATAGACACACAAAATACCTTGAGACCAATTGCTATGATGCTATATTATTGTGACAAGGAGAAAAAACATACTCTTTTGCCTACTTAATGGTATTGTTTGGATTCTGGCATGGGATCCACTACACAAGACCACTTCTTCTTAGATATTAATAACATAAGAACAGCATGAATATGAGAGAAACATAAATACTTAAAGCAAAAGACGGGACAAGAGGTGCATACTCTCTCAGGGACTGGATCTGTGCAAGCTTCTTCTTCAACTCCTACCAATTTCTCTGCACTCCCACCCTCCATCGCAAGGTCTTTGTCCCCAACTCCCTCTGCCTGATTTATAGCCAACTTAGCTGCTTCTGGAAGAACCTCATGGGGAGCCTCTGGGTCCAAATCAATCAGCCTATTAGCCCTGCCTCTACCAGCAGGAATTGCCCTTGCTGGAGTTGCCCCTGAAGGCCCCTTCGCTACTGCTGTAGCATTGCAACCCCTTCCTCTTCCAGCACCAACTCTCCTTCCGGTTCTATTTGGAGCAGGGAGAGCACAATTTTCTGCTTGGTCAGGGTGTTGGGAGGAAGGCTGAAGATCATCAAGCCGTTTAGACCTTAATCGAGCTTGCCGGGCTCCACTTCGCAGCTCTGGCATTCTCTCTCCATGCAAATTACATCCGCATTGAGTTCCTCTAAGCCCCTCCGAATCTTCTGTAACTCAAAAAAAAAAAAGCAAAGACGGGGATTGATGTTAATTTTTCTGACCAGAATAATTGATAACATGAGCAAATCATCTCCAACCACATAAAATGAAAGCTACAGTCACGAAACCTGGCCTACACAACACAGCATCAGCCCATCATTCTGAACAAAATTTGTTCCCTGAAGTCCAAAGTTTCAAATAATAACAACTAAAACTGGACCTAAATAATATCAAAAGCTCCCAACTTTTGGCAAAGGTATGAGAATAAAAAGGGAAGAAAATTGCTTACTGAACAAGCAACGAGGCAGGAGACCCACCATATGGCACAAAACTAGTTCCCTATAGTACAACAATTCAAAATCTACTTTTGCCAGAAACACAGAAGGAATCGAATGTATCTCGTAAACCGATATATCCATGGACATTTTATCCTTGCCCAAAAGTTACTCCTTTCTCTAATGCATAATCTGTTTAAAGTTTCAACTTTCAACCAAACTGAAAAACAATGAATTGATTAAAGCCTTCAGCAATACCAAAACCACATGTTCATCAACATAGAAAACAAGATTAAAAACTAAAACAAGTCAAACAAGCAGACGAGATTCACAAGTCGCTATAAGAAGCAAAATACAACACATTCCAGTCTCTTCGCCTCGATTCCACCTTTCAAGCAATCCAATCGAATCGAATCTCGTGACAACTTCCTTTTCAACTCACAATTCCACCACACTCCACCGATCACCATAAACCCACTTTTCACACCCAGAACAAACCAAATACCAAAACTTTCCTAAACGATAGATATCAACAGCACTACCGTTGAACAGCGATCATCAAAAACACAAAAACAAGAAGCTCAATCACTTACAGATCGCACCACAAGCCCCGAAAAAAGCAGTACGATCGAGCAGATGAACCAAGCGAACCGCGTCGACCACGCTTAAACGTCGAGCACCATTCGAAGACCGATGAGTGTAGGATCAATCAATGCATGTCTTGGAACGAAGACCGATTCGAGTTGTGAAAGGTGGAACCGCAGCTAATGGTAGAGGAAGGTTAGGAGACGAGGAAACTTAGGTTATTAGGGATTGAAGAGATGGAATTTAGGTGGGAGAGAGATGAAACGGCGAGGTGATGGCCGCTGGTTTGGTTTTGCTTGCTTTCTCTCTTTTATCTACTGGTGTGGTGTATCCGGACCGAAAATCCTCTGTTTTATATATATATATATATATATTTTTTCTATTTTTTCTCGAAATAATATTTTTGAATAATAAAGTGGTGGTACATACATGACGATACATCGAGCATGCAAATGTGACCTTGTCTTGTAAAAGGATACAAGACTATCCTTAATAGAGATATTAGGGGGGTGTACGGCTTTTTTTTTCCCTGCATTGACGGTCATGCTCCCCTTTACATATTGAAATTACTGAGCATGCCACTATTATTTGAACTAATGATATGTATTCTCTATATTTATATGTATCGATTTTCTGAATGGGCAATATGGGAATTACAACAAATAAGGGAATATCTAGATCATTGAACCTTGATCTTTATTGGGTAATATCAATTTTGAGCAATATGTGGACTATTAATTAATTAATTGTTCAGTTGTGTGGTTCAATAAAGCGTGGAGCCTTTCAATCTATTGGAAATTTGGAACCCACTATGGTGTAGTTAAAATCACACCACAGGAATTACATCACACTTTGTCAAAATGTTCCATTATAACTTTTTCAATAAACTATCTTGGTAATTTAAATTTATTATACTACTTTACAGGTATAATTGCATATACTATGGGTGCAAATTAGGTACCCTATTTGAAGAATTTATACAGCATTCAACTCAGGCCCATGGATCAAGCCCATTCAAATTTTATAAAATGGTGGTCTGGACATGAAGACAATGAAGCATGGTTCACTATTATGTTTGACTGTTTGTGGGGTGAAGAATGTAGGTTATGTTTGGTTGGAAGGAAAATGCAAGGAAAAGAAGGAAAAAGATAGGTTGGTTCCCCTGTCTTTCAAATCTTACTGATCCATATTATATGATCTAGCCAAATTTAAATGGTTAAATCAGTAGGAATATAATCCAGCCATACCCAACAGTTAGATTTATAATTTATATACAAAATAATTTAATAGTTCACGATACCTGAAAATATATTATTATTTTCATATATATATATACCCTATCATTAAGAAGGTAGGAGGATTGCTTTGTTTTCTACATTGAAGCTCACAGTATCCGTGAAATGTCACGCTTTAAAGCTAGTCCCGTCCAACAAAGAATTATTCCCTTGATTAATTGACTGGAATATCAATAATTTAGGAGATTTTTAGTGGTTTTGTTCAAAAAAACTATCAACATCAAATTGAATAATTTGTTGATCAGACGGTTGGGAATAAAATCAATCTGTAACTATAGATGTGGGATCTAATGACATAAAATAGGGGGTTTTATAGTTTAGTCCACCTCAAAAATCTGACCCCCACCGCACAGGTCAGATGAATCGTGTCTGTGGATTAATGCCAAATTTACAAGCAGGATGCGGTTTATAAGGGGCTACTAGTAAATTAGGATGGAGCTGCAATTTCAGATTTCTGAAGTGGATTGCAGTCTACTTGTCCTAAAAAAAATAAAGAAATATATAATATCAGCGTCATCAGTAATTCCAGCCCATAGATGGGTCAAGGGCTTAACAACTTTGCATTGTCCAACGTTTTCAGTCCCACCAGTGAATTAGCTCGGCCAAAATTTGATATGTACTGAAATAACCGGACAATGGGCTTATCACTTATGTTTAAAAAATAAGTTCTTGGAACAAAGACATATATCTAAGTTAGTTTTGTTTCTTCTAATCATTAAGTTCTATTAATTGAATTCATACTTAATAAATTAATAATTCCAATAACATAAAAGCTTATAATTTTAAAATCTACCTAGCCATACTTAATAAATTAATAATTCCAATAACATAAAAGCTTATAATTTTAAAATCTACCTAGCAAAAATAGTGTTTTCATCTAGGTGGTGGTAAGAAATTAAATTATTTTGGGTCAAATGGGTTAATCCATATTTTCATGATTAAATAATAAAATTAAAAAAGTTGGAAACATTTTTTAACATACATATTAAACAATAATATTTATGATAAATAAGAAATGTTTTTACTAACGATGAAAATGAAATGTAAAATTTAAAACCAATTGGAAATAAAGATATTTTCCTATTATCTCTCATTAAATCCTATATTTAAGATATATTTTTTCATCATTAAATTATTGTAATTAAATCCATAATATTAATTTTAATAGTATAAAAATAAATATTTTGAAAAGTAATTTGAAAACAAAATAATTCTCTTTCCTCTTGGTGGTGGGCAAGCAATTTGACAATTTGGGGTCAAATGGATTGATAAATAATGTCGTAATTAAATAATAAACGTTAAAATAAATAACTAGGAAATATAAGAAGTATTTTTTATTAATGGTGAAAATGGAATTCCAAATTTAAAATCCACCTATAAATGAAATGATGCCATAATCAATTACTAAAATTTTTAATAATAGAAAATACAAAGAATCACAAAAGTATTGAAAAAAGATAAAGAAATTTTTGGGCACATATCTAATGTTATATATTTATAAAAAATAAAATATTGGGTACATCTCTAATATAATGCATTCATTGTATTGAACAAAAATAAGTTTTATGCATAATAAGTAATTTTATCAATGATGGAAATGCAATATAAAAATTTAATGTCAACTTAGAAATCAAAATATTTTTTTTTTTAGATGGTGGGTTAGTGTATTGAGTCAAATGATACCAAAGACAAACAAATATTAAGTGCGATAAGTAAAAAATATTTTATATAATGTAAATGAAATATATAATTTAAAGGGAAAATTATAGTCAAAGTCGGTTGTACATTTAAAATTAGGTTGCAGGTAGGTTTAGAAACCAACAAAAATCTAACAACTAGCTCTACATTTCAAATTATAAAAACCCCTTTCCATGTCATCGGAGGCTTATATGGTTGTTGCCAACATGAGACTCTTAGTCCATGTTGGACATGGCAAAAAGCCAATACCGAAAATAGGTGCTTAGTTTCTCTCCTACTCCCTCTGTCTCTCCCACTCTTCTATCTTCAGTTTGTAGCCAAATTAAAACTTATCTCTCATTCTCTCTCATTTTTCTCCCTCTCGATCAATATCTCCTTCTCTCTCCCTCAATCTCTATCATTCTCTAATTTGTGTAAATTACATAGCCAAGAGTTTCTTGTGAATTTTTATCAAATAGGTGAAATGATTTTTGAACCATACCAAGTTGGTCTCGTGTTCTTTTATACAATCTAATTAATACCACATAAGTGTGTAAGAAAAAAAAAAGAACAAGAGAGGGAGTGGGAGAGAAACTGAATGAGAACGATATAAATTAAGGGACAAGTAGAGATTGACTAAGAAAGAGAATGAGAGAGATTGAGGGAGAACATTAGGTAGAGAAAGAGAATGAGAGAAATTGATATAGAGAACATAAATATATAAACAAAAAACCATTTTTATTTATTTTCAAATCATACAGTTGTTGAACAAATAAAGATGACTATGATAGTGAGAGAGTGTGAGGGAGATTGAGATAGTGAGTGAGTGAGAGTGAGAGTGAGAGTGAGAGAGAAACTAAAAACTTTTTTTTTTCTATTTTCCAATCACCTAACATTAAAGGGCAATTTTGGTATAAGCTTTTTGTTGTGTCTAATATGGATTAAGAGTCATATGTTGGCAACAACCACATAAACCTTTGATGACATGGCGAGGGTTTTAATAATTTGAATGTAGAGTCGATTGTCAGAGTTTTGTTGGTTTATGGGCCAACTTGTAGCTTAATTTTAAATGTACAGTTGGCTCCGACTATAATTTCCCTAATTTAAAACTATTCATCAAACTTTTCAAAGAAACTCGTGATATCATAATTGAATACAAAATATTTAAGAAAAGATAGAACACAAAAAATGAAAATGTATAGAATTTTGTTGAAAACACTTGAGAACATTTTTTATGTTACATATTCATCAAATGAAATAAAAATATTTTTTAAAATAAGAGTTATTTTTATTTATGATAAAAATGCAATACAATATTTAATAATAATAATAATTGTTATTTACTACAAGCATTTAAATTTATTTTTAATCATATTATTACTTTTGTTAATTTTCAATTTCTATCTTAACTATGGTATATCTAAAATTCAAGTAATTAATATGAAGAAATTTTTCTCACGTGCAACACATGTGCTTAATTACTAGTTTTGTATAATGGAGGAGGAAGGGACAAGAATAATAGAGCCCAATTAAAGTTAATCTTTTCGACACCATTGTTCATGCATAGTTCTACCGAATGCGGGTTCAACTTCCATCAAGGCAAAGCCCATTAGAGCAGTCTTTACAGCCTTGCATTGAGAATATCTCTATACTTATGTGCTTTATTTCATCGAGAGATATTCTTAATGCAAGGTTGCAAATGGCAGTTGGAATGGTGTGGGCACAAGCTTGTCCTGAGGGAAGCCAATCTCACCGAATGCTGGATTGGCGGATCTCCTTCTATGTTCATTGCCACGTGGCAAGTTATGCTGTAAATTAAGGCTTGTTGTTGACGACATCTTTATGTAAACTTACAAATTATATAAATTGCTACTTTTTTTTTCCAATATGCAATGGCGATTTGATTACGAGGCTCAGAGTGGTGTCAATCTTGGATCCAAGGTTTTAAAAAATGACTCGAAAATGGAATCATTTTGGCCACCGGTTTTCGGGTCAACGATCTGACTGCCCGGTTCGAACAGACGGCCCGTTTTGACAAGAAATTTTAAAAAATAAAAAAGATAAAGAAAATTTGTCAAAATTGTTGAACGGGTCAATGAGTCAACAGTTTGACCACTTAGGTCAACGAATTGTTGACTTTTTCAACAATTTTTGGCCAAAGATTGGGTTTGGGGAAAATGGATCCAGTTACCTGGACGGTTCCTGGGCTGAACGGTCAAACCATCCAGATCAAATTCCTCACATGTACATCCTACCGTGTATTTAGTAATCAATTGGGGAGAAATCAAAGAAAACAATTTATCAACCTTTGTTTTGGTCGCTATTCGTTAACAGCTCCAGACCCGGGTATGCGGGCCGGGCTAGGGTCTGGTCCACCCACCAACGACCCACTTTTATATATTTGAATTGAACGGAAATCGGCTTCAGTCAGTGCAAAGCCCGTTCGAACGTGCTCGAATGAGCATCAGAGCATCCCAAATTCCCGATTCCACTTGCTAACATGTTAGCTTTTCATAGAATGACTGAAATGCCCTCACGCGCGCTTTATTATAACGGTTTTGCACCTGCATCCCTACTTTACGTAAGGACGTTGTTGAGTTGCCGTGAGAGAAGAGAGAACGGTAATGGCTTCAGCGAGTGGTCGGGGACCTGAAATCAGGAAGAGTACGGTGTTGAACCGGTGGGTCATCTTCTCTTCCGCCAGAGCTCGAAGACCCTCGGATTTCAAATCCAAGTCTCCTGCTGCAAACCCTAACTCTACTTCATCCCTCTGCCCTTTCTGCTTAGGGAACGAGCACCATTGCGCGCCGGAGATCTTCCGAATCCCTTCAGATGCTACGTCCGGTTGGAAGATCAGAGTCATTGAGAATCTCTTCCCAGCACTCCAAAGAGATCAACAATTACTGTCCCAAGACCCCGACTCTGATTCCCACAGCTGCTTTGCCCTCAGCGGATTCGGATTTCATGACGTAGTTATTGAAACTCCGATTCATTCCGTTCACCTGTGGGATCTCTCGTCTAGTGGGGTTGGTGACGTCCTTCTCGCTTATAAAAAGAGGATCGAACAGCTCGCCTGCTATGAATCGATCAAATATGTTCAGGTCGATCAACTTTTCTCTCTGAATGCGAATGTTTTAAATTTTCGGACAGAAAAAAAATCTTGGACTTTTGGTTCGCCTTGTTCGTTGTTTGTTGTTTTATTTCCTCATTTACCTTTGCATAAAATCTACCTTTTGATTAAATTCTGTTGTTGGTTCAGCTGCCTTTTTTTAGGTGGAGAGGGGGAGGGAAGGGAGGGTTAAGCTGAGATTCTTCATTATTTTTATTGTTTTAATTATTTGGTAATTATTGTCCTTTCTTTTGTCTCCAAAATTTCAATCAGATAATATTTGGTTAGTTGCTAGTCTTTTTGTTCAAGTCCATTTACCGAAAATTCCTTCAAGAAGGAGTCTCACCGATATGATTAGTTGTAATTGTTGATTCAGCTCTCATTTGGTCTGTTTTCCCCCTTATTTATTCTTATTTTGGACTTCGTTTTTTTGGTTATGTGATTGATGGATTAAATCTGAGCACCCACCCACTCATCATTGCTTTTCATCTTCTATCCATGAGAACTTTTGGTGTTAACCGTTTGTTCCTTTTTCCCTATCTTGCAAAAAAGTAGCTTCTTTCTATCTTCTTTTTTTAGTTGCTTTTCAGCCCCGTAATTTATGGGCTGCCCCAGTAACATTTGCCTAATTACAGGTGTTTAAGAACCATGGGGCATCGGCTGGAGCATCATTGAGTCACTCTCACAGCCAGATGGTGGCTCTTCCAATCATTCCTCCAACAGTATCTATCCGGCTTGACAGTATGAAGGAGTGCTTTGAGAGGACGGGGAAATGTAGTATCTGTGAGATTCAATCTCAGGAGCTTCTGATCAATGAATCAGACCAATTTTTTTCGATTGTTCCTTTTTCAGCTTCTTTTCCTTTTGAGATTTGGATCATCCCCCGGGACCACTCTTCTCATTTCCATGAACTAGATGAAAATAAGGTAACACTAAGTCCCTCCCTTGGTATGCTTTCATGCATGTGCACACTGGATATCTGTTCAATGAAAGTTTCTATTTCAGAAATCCCTGTAACAGTGAAATGATTTAATCAATAAATATTAAAACGACCTTCTAGAGTTTACAATAAATGCTAAAATTTGTTCATGAATTGGAGGATGACACCAAAATTTTGGTTAACGACCTTGCATGCATAATCTCAATTATTCAGATGGCAACTTGAAGCTAGAAATCTATAATCTATATTATAAAAGAAAGAGTTTCATTTACCTGATTTTGTCAATGATCATTTTTTTGTTCCAATAATACCCTTTTCTACTCATTGAATAACCCTAAGTAATTTTTTCCCCCCTCTGCAATATCCATCTCCCCAACCTAAAAATTACTCCAGTCTTTGAGCTTGAAATTTACAAATGTAATTCCAGGTAAAATTTGAAGCAATTGGTGCCTTGATGAGGTTCAGAAAGCTTGTTTTGCAAATTCTCGTCATTCCCAATAGCTGTCGTTAGACCTTTCTCTAGTTGAAAATCTACATTTTCTTTCTTTGGATGCTGAGAAACCAATAATTTGAATCCCTTGCCACTTTTCCTGGACCATCCTCCGGCCAGGGTTGGATGGCAATTAATCCGTAGGACACTGGATTCCACTACAATCTCAGCCAGAGGGGTTTACTCTGACAGTCTACAAATGAACTCTTCTGACAAAATAGTATTCCAAAATTTGGTGTGCAGCTCAAGCAGTCCAAGCAGCTTCATGGCAGAACTAGAATCAAATACAAGGCAATGCCTGAATGGAGAGGTCCTACTTTGCAAATGTCGGAGTTACTTCTGTTCTAGCGTTCCAGTTTGTTCACTTCAAGAATTCTTGGAGTTGGACTCTGTATTTAGATTTGGTCAGTTGTTTTCTTCTGCTCAGAAATAAGATGGAAGAAACCATGCCACCACCATGAACAACCACAGAAACCACAGTGATCAGAAGGAGAAAACACAGTTTATAACATCATTCATAGAAAAAAAAAACACAGTTTGTAACATTTTAAATTAACTACCATTGTTGGTCCATATTTGTTTCACTGATTTTAGTTGTATATAATTGCTAATTTAGCTTCGTAGGCTTTTCCAATTGATCAATCTAGAAATGAGGAATTCCCTGTTTCCTGTGATTTCTCTTTCACTTGGTTCAGTTTTTGCTGGATTTCTATACTTATCTTCTTGGGAGGAAAAGGAAAAAATGTTCCTCTATTGGGGTGGGTTTTTGAGATTTGATTTGATCCAGTTTTATCTTTCTCAT